CAAAAATCATACACGTCCCTGTATGTGGAATGACATTTCAGCCATTATTATCCGATTGTAACATTCAAACAAGACCATTAAGCTTCTGTTCCATAATGCATATGCTTTTGGTGTAAACCATTAGTGAATAGAATACTGGCAGCTTTGCATTTTATTAAATAATCTACTCTTTTAGTGCATGATCACAAGATATTTTTATTGTATATTTTTAGGTATGAACTGTGTTAGAATGCATCATATAACATTATTTGTCTTAATATTGGAAAGATACATTAAGAAATTCAGTGTCTTTTAAAGTTTTTGTCCTGGTCAAGAAGCAATTGATTAAAGGAACATTGAATTATGAGTGGTTTGTCACTGTTGATTACCATTAAAGGTAATTTTGTCGATCAGTGAGCCTAGCTATCAGTATAAGTCCTCATTATAGTTTATCTATCATCTAATTTGGTTTAACTAATACAAGTAACGCAGATGGATGGTTTTGTCTTTGTCTTCACCTAAAAATTTTGCATGAGTCATACATCCAGACACTAACATCTTTCTTACAGCTTGTTACAATTTGTGGTATAAATTCGATTAATTGCAAAATTTTATGGTGCTTTTTCATAATCCTATCTGTTGAGAAGATAGTGAGAATCAAACATTTTCTTCTTTCTTCAGCCAAAGAAAGTGAAGGATCCTCTCATTAAGAAAAATAACACGTACACAGCTGCCGCTACAAGCTACACCCCTAATATTGCAAGGGACCCTGGGCTGGCAACCATTGCTAAAAGTGCAACGATTGAGCCCAAAGAAGTTAAGCCAGAAACAAAACCTGCAGAACCCAAGAAAACTTTTAACAGCGTCAGTAAAATTGATCGACTATCAAGAATAGCCTTCCCATTGCTTTTTGGAATCTTTAATTTAGTTTATTGGGCTACCTATTTAAACCGGGAGCCCCAGTTAAAAGCTCCAACTCCACATCAATAACCTCATTTATTTGTATAGTTCTGTTTTGTCTTTTGCTCTGGGAATTGCTTCCCGTTTTCACATATAGTACTTCCCATTTGCTTCATTGCCTCTGTCTTAAAGAAAATAAGGGTTTCTTTATTTAACAAAAGGTATAATATATCTGTATATTTAAAAAACCCGTGTGTGAGGGAGAGAATATAAGCTATATACTTTGAAAAAGTGATTCTGAAAATAGGAAAGAGTTGTAGAGTAATGAAAAAAAAAAAAAAAGGAAACCATTTGTAGATAGCTTAGTACTGAATATCCTCCAAAGGTATTGTATATGTATGTGAAAAAGATATTTTTATTCAAAGGATTGTGGGGAGTGGGAAAATATTCTTTACGACGTTCCTGATGCACATACTATACCGTACCATTTATTCAACCACTGTTTATAATCTTTTCAAAGATGTAAAGTTTTCCATTTGCTGAATCCCATAAGTTATGTTATTTTCCTAATCCCTTTTCTCTTCTATATTCCAAACCACCTGACTTATGATATTAAATGGTCTAAAGAAAAAGGAAATCTGCTCACTCTAGGTACAGTTTGTCACTGTATAGCACGTAAGATCTAACGGTAACAAATGCTTTCATCTGCTGTCTTACTGCAGTCTTGTTCTAAGCATTAAGTTGTCGCTAGACTAGATTTAAAACCAGTTGCACAATCAAGTGCAGATCCCAAGTTCCCTCTATCACCTGTGTAATCCAAACAATTCCTGGATGCTTTTACAGATAGCTTTTACTCATCACTATGTTTTAGAGAGTTTAAAAAAAAAAAAACCACAACAAACCAACAATTTTTGCAAGCTCTAGATATGTTGAATGTATTCTTTTATAAAATGATACATTAAAAAGAAGCTTTAGACTGAAATTTATGGATAGCAGAAAGACAAAATATAGTATTTGAATAATATATGTAAATATGCAGCATGAGATTGTACATTTTTTTACTTTTTTAAAGTTGTGTTCTTAAAACATTGTGTAGGATTCACCTCTTAGCTCTTAATATGTTGTTAAATGCTCAATAAAACATATTTAGAGCCTGAATTAAAAAAAAAAAATCAGTGGTACTGGAAAGCCTAAAAAAATAATTACACAGAAAGTGCTTGGAATTAATTCCATTCGTGAAGTGGTTAAGTGTACAGTAGCTTGCAATTTGACAATGTCATCCAATGTATACTATTAGATTAATGACTGGTCTGCTCAGGTCATGCATAAATACTAAAGTGTGGGATTATATTTGGTAGGTAAAAATGGTGAAATATTTGTTAAGACAGAAGTTCATCTGTATATTACTGCTATATTTGCCGATACATAACTGTTACAATAAGTGATGTAATATATGTAGCATTAAATACAAAAAAGTCATACATAAAAGAATGTACAGGAAAATAGATTTTATTGAGTAAACTTACTACATTTCATTTTTACTGTAGCAATATATTTGTAGGAACAATATGTAAGGGCTTTAAATACAAGATGTCCATTTTGCAGGTATTGTGCTCCCTTTAAAAAAATTCTAGTCAGTATCATTACTGCTGATTCTTAGAAATAAAATTTCAGATAAAGATTTTTCAGAGATGGGAAGAATGGTGGAAATGTGCAAGCATCAATTAAAAAACTGTAATATATGGTATTGAATGAATTTTAAAACAATGCTACATGAGCCTCCAGGGAAACAGCTACTGAGAGTCAAATTTCACAGGCAGTTTTCTAAAGTCTTTCTCATAAATCAAGAAGTTGACATTCTCTATTTACAAAAGGAAATAGTTAATGTTTTATTTAGAGAAGATTTTTTTTAAACAATGTTTCATTGTCTGACATTTAGTCCTGTCTAAACTTGATAAGTTATCTGATTGGAGCTTATTAAAAGGGGATGTTTCATCTTCTGGTATAATGTGTAGATATATGTATAGAAAAAAATAAACTATGGCTCTTTAACTTCTGTGTACTTGTTTATCTTGTTATTTTTGGCGTTAAACTAGTGTGTTCATTTAGGTCACTTTACCTCTCTAGCAATTCATAGCTACCTTTTGGTCTGCATTTTGCACATTAGATGTGAATATTACTTAACTAGTCTGCTTTTTGCTATGCAATGATTGCATTATATCACCTCTTAGTTAGTCTATGCCAATAGTATTATACTGTATAAACTTGATTGCACAGTTTATCAAAGACAAGGTACTCTCTATGTAGCTTTTTTACAATGCTTTGCTAAACCATGTAATAATAGTAAGTCTTCCTTGAAAATAATGATACACTCTTATAGAGGACAGTTTCTGTTTACTCCTGGGATAATTTTAAAAAGATGACATTGAATGTTTATTGCACCTCAGTGCAGTGATGTGGCAATAAAACCTAAATCTAATAGAGGTTGTTTATGGCAGAAGCATGTATTGCTTTACAGAGTTTAGCAAAAGCTCTTTATTTTATGTCAGACTGTAATTCTATTATAATAATAAAGCTAAAAATGTTCAATAATGAAAGTGAATGTTTTACTTTGGTTTTCTTTAGTTACTGCCTTTTATGACACATTGCTTGCTAAACTGCTATTCATTCAAAAACTTAGTTTCTGTGGATTTGGTAATGAATGCAGTTTTAATAGATGTAATTTTCTGTCCAGTGTTTTCCAGGGACACATATAACAACAGGAATGTTTCCGAAATCTAATTTGACATTCAAAAAAAGATCAGTCTGTACAATGTATATCCAGTAAAGCAATTAATTGAATCAGATGAACAATTGTTAAGGTTTAGTACCACAACAGTGAATATGATATAGGGTAGGAACAGAATGAAATGCAGTCTCCCAGATAAAATGGCAGATAAACTAGAGAATGATAGTAAAACTGTGGGTATTTATGTTGTAGATTTCACTGTTTAAATAAACAAGCAGATCTAAGAAAGACTGTTAGAAGAGAACCTCAGGCTGTATAACATAACATTATTTCACTTATTTAATGAGTTGTGGGGGTAGCATTCAAACAAGCATATGTGTGGCTTGAAAATTTTAATTCTCAACTCTTCATTCTTTCCCACATGGAAAAATACAGAGAGAGGAAAAGTCATTCCAGTGCATTCAGCCCTCAGATTTTCTTGCAAAAGTTCCTGGAAAGCAAGGCTCATGCTCTTATGCAGGGAGAGACAACCAGTTGTAGCCATACAGTTTTAGAGGATCCAAAGCAGGAAAGGCTGATATAAGTGTATATATGTATATAACAATATTCATAGATTTCTTAAGCATGAGTCCTTTCAAAATGGAAGGAAAGATTGTGTTCATACAGACTCAGATTCTACTAACTTATTATGCTTTCCTCTATTTTGAATGAGAATAATGCAGTCTGAATCCCTGTTCCTTGCCTCCTACTACTAACTCCACGGAGATGAATCCCTATGGAAACCCACACAGGATTTTCTGGAGGAGTATGGTAAAGAAAGTGGCAAGTGACACTGTTTCAACACCCACCTCCTATGTTCACATGTCAGATGCAGAGCATACATGGGGGGTTCTTACATCTCCTTTGTCACTGCTCAGGCATTTTTAGGCAGAATTTTATTCGAGTGAAATGAGTGAAATTGTCTAGATGCAACAGGATTTGACTCTGAGAAAAATATATAGCATTATTCAGCTTCACAGACTGGAAGAACAGCCTCGTCAGATGACAGATTCACAGTCACCAGACAGTCCAGCATAACACCCTGACATGACATTGCTGTGTTTGCTCTGATATTACATCAGTAGGGGAAACTCCTCCAGTTTTCCTTGGATCATCCCTAGAAACTACCGCAGGACTTTCTTAATGACCAAGGACATTTTTTACACCACCAACGACTTTCTTAATGATATTCTTTCTCTTGGACTGACTATGCAAGACCTGAAAAAGCTGATTTCCTTTTCTCTCTATCTCCTTCTATTTTTCACCAATATGGTAAATAATAAAAGCTTATGAAACACTAATGGCTAGAAAATGGGGCACACATGCTTCAGGGAGCAAATAATAAAAGAACCTCTTTCAGCCTGTGCTTTGTACCTGAATGACTGTCCAAATAAATTAGTGTGACTGGGGAAAGTCAAACTTTTTCTTAGAGGCTCTAACAATATCAGTCATACTTTAAAAGATAAAAACTCAAGATCTCCTTAGACGTTCTACAGCAGATCCACAGAAGAAAAAAAAAATCCTCCTGCTATGCATAAACATGACATAGCTTAAATAAAAATGTGTTTGCAGCCTTAGCACATGAATTTTGCAAGTGAAGTATATTATCAGCTTGTCAAGCTGTTGCTGTCATGTTACATCTGATTACAAACTACGTCAAATACAACAAGAGAGGTAAAAGCCTTGAAACGACAAGTTTCTATAGGCTCGTTCACTCTGGCTATAGGCCCATCCAAACAGGCAGGATGACTTCACAGCTGCAGATAAACTTATTTATTTAAACTGCTTTAGGGCATTTGAAGATGCTCTGAGTAGATGTTGCACAGTTGTTACATGCATTTCACCCAAAGACTAGAGACATTTCCTCTCAAAAACCCGCAGACAGACAGATTGACCAAAGGGCACTGCTTTTCTGAACGTGCTGTCAAGGGAGGAAAGATGTATTTGCTGAACTCTTTCTCCAATCAAGGACATTTGAATGGAAACAGACATGATGAATTTCTTCCCAAATGTCCTCATATATGAAGTATTTAATGAACCTCAAGTTGTACAAGCCTAAGGATCTGAACCAGGCCTAAGATGCTAAATTTTTTTAGAAGTGGTTTGCTAATGGCTGCCCAGAATGCACTACCTTTGCTACATGATAGTTTTACAGGTATGCATCATCTGCTTAATACGAGGTGACTGAAGTGCCTCATAGGAAAATAATAATCTAGCTGCTATGGGATTAATGCAAATTTCTTTAAAAAAACCCCACATACTTAGAGCTCCTATTCCATTATTGCCTGTAGCAGCAGAACCACACTTCTAAACAAGTGGTTTG